CGTCTGGATAACAGTAGACTGACTGCTCATAAAATATACGACAGGTCTGGACCACTCGTGAATTTTGTTCGTATCTGAAAAAATCTTAGAATACGAAAACATTGGTGAATGCCACAAATTCTCCTAAATCACTTGTACGTACAATTTAAGAACAAATCTGTGCGTACGAACAGTTCTTGCATGAGGCCCATTATGAGCAAATCATCAGAATTCCTAATTTGTTCAGTGACAGCCCCTAAAAGCTTGGTAATCTGGAGACATTTTACAAGACACCAATTTTTCCATCCATCTAAATCACGTGTTGCCCTGCTTTTATTTGACAGGAGGAGTCCCATAATATTTATCCAGTTGATTCCCTAGCAAAACACCCATTGTTATGTGTAGCGTCAAGCCTTTGAAAGTGCCTTAATCATGCAAAAGGATACTTTAAGAAGAGTTCATCTTGGCAGGCCCTGCGGCCCATCCTCATCCTCTTACCTTCCAACCTCTCCAATTGTCCGTACCCACCTTCCTTTTAATGTTTTGTAACTCTTGTTCCCAAACTTTTAAATGCTACCAGGTCACCGTCAAGTCTGGCTACCAAGGAGAGGTTGTTGGGCAAAGTGTGTCACAGGGCCTGTCCACTTCTCATGTACTGCAATGTCTCCATCATCATAAATTAGGGTCAGTGTGGTGGTTCTTAATAGCTCCTGGAGTCTTATCTGCTTTGTTTTTGATTGATCTCAGCTATCTGGGCAGCGTTGTTGTGACCAGGTCCTCTACACCGCAATAGGTAAGGGTTGGATCCATGTCTGAAAGGGGGGGGTTAGCAGGTGGGACTTTTTGATCACCTCGTCCTTTAAAGGGGAATACAAGACTTTGAGTGTTTGTTTGATTTGTTCCTTTTATTAGCTGGTACATGTGGCTATTTTCATTTTTTTATATTTTCCTTTTTGATGAGGGGCTATGCATTTTAAGTTCTGCAGTCTTAGTACATTATGCAGTCTGACTGATTTGCATAGGCCATCTGTTCCATAATAAATTAGATAGAATAAATATTCTTTAATATAACCTAATGTTCAAGTTGTTTGCTAACTGAGCACATTCACATGCAACTTTCTGTCCAATATTAGAAATACCCACCAAATGGTGATCTTCTTGAGTTTACACATAGAACAAGGTTTCATTAGCCTTAAAAAGGTTTCTGTTAGATATATGTGCACACTTATCTGTAACTTGGTTCCCTTTTTAGGAGACATAAATCAAGTAAAAGTTCAACCATAACTATGTAAAACATTTTGCTAGCAATTTGTTATACAGCCTTGTAAGTACCTTTTGCATACAGTGTATAAACCTAGTACATACCTGTTACTTATCTGGTCTGTACGGGGTACATATCTATTACTTGCAGGGTGCATACCTGGGACTTACAGAGTACGTAGCTGGTACTTATCGGGTGTTAACTTTTTTTTACCGGGTGCATACATGGTACTTATCCAGTACATATCTGGTAATTACCTTGTACTTTCCTGGTACTCACAAGGTATGTATTGGGTGTGTGTACATACAGGGTTTGTGCCAGGTATTGCACCTACTCATACTAGGATGTGTTATGTACTGCTACCACTGTTAAATTCCTATAATATTGTAAATTTACCATTTACTATAATTAAATAGACAACAAACAACATTTATGTAGATAGCAGCATTCTTGGATTATGTTAAAAATTATGTTGTTTTAGATTATTTTGGTTATGTAAAATTTTCTATATACAGTCAAATGTCAAAAATATTTTTTTGTTATCAAAGGCATGACCTACTCTGTCAGCTCTGTGCTAACTTTGGTTCTACCCATTTTACTTACATCTATTTTTCAGTAAGTGTACCAGTCCCTAAAGCCTAGATTGTATGATACCACGCCAAGTTCATGAACAACTACATGCACTCTCAGTTTGTCTCTATTTTACAGTTAGAGGCACAGAACATGGCCCACTCAGACTCAATGTCCCCCACCTCACCCAGAACGTGTTCAAAGTTGTCCCAGAGGTGTGAGTTGAAGCTTAGTCTGATGGGAGACTCTGCCAGATGTTATCAGCAGGCTCTCACTATACGTTTGGGTCTGCCCGTTTCTGACCAGCATCCTCCCCCACCATCGGAGCCAACTCACTACCAGGTAGTGGTCAGTTGACAGCTCTGTCCCTCTCTTCACTCGAGTGTCCAAGACATGCGGCCGCAGATCAGATGGGATGACAAAGTCGATCAATGAACTGTGGCCTAAGGTGTCCTGGTGCGAAGAGCACATATGGACACCCTCATGCTTGAATGCGGAGTTCGTTATGGACAATCCATGATAAGCACAGAAGTCCAACAACAAAACACCGCTCAAGTTCAGATCGGGAAAGGGTGTGTGTGGGGGGGGGGGCCTGTCCTTTCAACCACTCCCCTCCAAGTCTCACTGTCATTGCCCACGTGAGCATTGAAGTCCCCCAGCAGAACAAGGGAGTCCCCATCAGGAGCGCCCTCCAGCACCCCTTCCAAGGACTCCAAAAAGGGTGGGTAATCTGAACTTTTGTTAGGCGCATTGGCATAAACAACAGTCAGGACCTGCCTGCCACTCGTAGGCAGAGGGAGGCTACCCTCTCATTCACCGGGGTGAACCCCAACGTACAGGCACCGAGATGGGGCATCCCACCCAACCACACCCCTCCAGGTCTCACCGTCATTGCCCGTGTGAGTGTTGAAGTTCCCCAGCAGAACAAGGGAGTCCCCATCAAGNCCCCCCAACATGTAGGTGGAGGGAGTCTACCCTCTCATTCACTGGGGCGAACCCCAACGTACAGGCACCAAGATGGGCGGCAATAAGAATGCCCACTCCTGCTCAGCAAGGGCAACTCCAGAGTGTCCAACCCCTCTTGAGGAGCTGGTTCCAGATCCAGAGCGGTGCGTCGCGGTGAGTCCAACTATATCTAGTCGGAACCTCTCAACCTCACACACCATCTCAGGCTCCTTTCCTGCCAGAGAGGTGACATTCCACATCCCTAGAGCCAGCTTCTGTAGCCGAGGATCAGACCGCCAGGATCCTTGCCTTTGACCACTGCCCGTTGCACATTGCACCCAACCCCTATGGCCCCTCCCACAGGTTGGGAACACATGGGAAGGGGGACCCACGTCTCTTCTTTGGGCTGTGCCCAAACGGGCTCCATAGGTGAAAACCCGGCCAACAGGCGCTTGCCAACATGCCCCATCTCCAGGCCTGGTTCCAGAGTGGGACCCTGGTGACCCACATCCAGACAAGGTAACACTAGGTCTATTGTTAGAACACATCGTAAGGGGTCTTTTGGTTGCACTCTGTCTGATCCCTCACCTTTGACCTGTTTGCTTTGGGTGACCCTACCGGGGCTATGAAGCCTCTGACAACATAGCTCCTAGGATCATTGGTACATTTAATTTTAATATTTATAGACACTTGAAGCATCTATCCATCCTGAAGGAGCCCATACATACATATATACAGACATGCACACAGCCCAGCAAATAGTTTACACATGCTAATATTTGGTTGAACCTCCATTAGATATGATTAAGACACACATTCGCTATGGCATAATTTCTGCAAGCTTCTGCAATTTCACATTTATTTTGGTTCAGAGTTGAATTAATTTCTCACTAAAATCTTGCATTGATGACAGGAGATTTTGACCACTTTGCAAAATCTTCTCCTGCACATCCCAAAGTTACTCAATGAGATTCAGGTCTAGATTTGGTCGTAGCCAGTTCATGTGTGAAAATAATGTCTCATGTTCCCTGAACCACTCTTTGAAAATTTAAGCCTGATAAATCCTGGCTTTGTCATCTTGAAACATTCCTGTGCTGTCAGGGGGGAAAAAATCCATTGGTGGAATAACCTGGTCATTCAGTATATTCAGGTAGTCAGATTACCTAATTTTTTTGGGCAAGTTCACCCTTACTATACGTTTTGGTTAACCAGGTCTGTCCAACGGCCACCCTGCCAACTCACCAACAGGTGGTGATCAGTTGACAGCTCTGCCCATCTCTTCATTCAAGTGTCCAAGACATAGAGCTACAGGTCATAAGACACRATTACAAAATCGATTACCAACCTTTGACCTAAGGTGGTCTGGTACTAGGTACACTTATGGACCACCCTATGCTCAAACATGTTGTTCCTAATGGACAACCCGCGCTTAGTACATAAGTCCAATAAGCAAACACTGTTCTGGTTCAGATCATGGGGACTATTTATCACCCCCTTTCAGATAACTCTATTGTTGCCCACATGGTCATTGAAGTCACCCAGTAGTACAAGGGAATCCCAGATGGCACCCGTTCCAGAACACCATGCAGAAACTCAAAAAAAAAACTGTGTAATCTGATCTGGTATTTGGTGCATAAACACACAAAACAGTCACTACCTTCCCTCCTACAGCATAGAGATGTATAGAGACAAAACCTTTTCATTCAGCAGGGCAAACTCCAACACCAAGGCATGCAGCCAGGGGCTTGTGAGTACCCCTACACCCACCTGACACCTTTCTCTCTGGGCAACTCTGAAGTAGGAGAAAGTCTGGTTCCAGGAGGTGCCTCGGTTTCCCTTTTCTGGGTGAGGTTTTCTGATTCAAATGGGCTTTTGTTCATCAAGAGTTTTATAACCCCTAACAAAAACAAGTTTTTTTCTTAGACAAGTTTAGTCTTTTTAACTTGAGCCTTTTAGTATATATACTGTATATACTGTATATATATATATTTTTTTCTTTTTTCTATTGGGAACCGTCTTCATCAGTTTGAACTCAATCATTGTTTGACTGTGTAAAGTTGTGTGCCAAAGCTGCTATGTAGAGTTTTTCCCAGAGTCATTTTTGCTTGTCTCATCTACAGTAGTATGAAACCAAAATGATTTCAAAATGCTCCAACTTATGCTATGGTTAAAAACAACACCAGCACTGTAGGTTGAGCTTAAAACCCGAGAGATGTTAAAAGGCCGTTAACCCTCTAAATAACCTTATGGTCTCTTCAAACTCTAAATACAAGCCGGTACTTCTGGTTTTCTCAACATTTGGCATCAGTGTTTTTAAAATCATGTTCTTACCCCAGCTCTTTCTAGGACTAAAAACATCTTCAGATACAGTTCTGTTAGATGCGGCTTAAAACTCATCTACACTTTTTTGGTCAATATTTTGTGTCCCTGACATTGAATCTGATTCAAGAATAGTTTACAGTTTTGTTTTTGCTTGTTTATTTTTTCGTTTGAACAATATATATTCTGTTATTTAATTTTTGGGAAAGAAAATGCAAATACTTAAAAGTATTATCAATACCATGGACTCTGCGTAAAGTGTACTGTATGTCTTTAGTGACAATCAAAGCATCCTCTGTTTATAGAGTAGACCAGGTACAGTTGATACAATTACCATGACCACACACACACAAAAAAAACAAAAACACTGAACAGAATGAATTTGTATGTGGAATGTTTTTTGCACGTGTATTAAATGTAATCTATCAATAATAAAAAGGAAAAAATAAAAGAAGTTTATTATTTCCATAGCTCATAAATGCTGTGAAGCTGACTGGCTGCCTTGTAAATACAGTAGTCAGGATTCTATTTAAAATAATTTAATTTAAATTCAATGCAAGTACAATTGAGATATTGTTATACAATATTTAGGACAAAATTTAACCTATTCAATGACCTAAGTTAAATTGAACAGTCATGGAAGGAAGAAAATAAACTATTTTATGGGCAGTTTTAATTTTCAGAGTCATATCGATCAAGTTCCCCACACTGGAAAAAGAGGGTAATACTCATTCTTGTAACTATAAACCAGGCATGTTGTACTCGCAGGTTACTTAAACTGTTCTCTTTGTACCTGATCTACCTGACTTGGTATATCTGAACTCTTTAGTCTGGACTGCAGAACATATCTCACTGCCATGCAAGAGCCAGTGTTCTGCAAACAGCAGCTAACATGCTTGTTTCAACCCTGAGGAACAAATATTTTGCAGAATTGGGGCGCTGAAAATGGGGAGGGCATAAAGACCACCCTTCTCTTAGACTGTTAGAATTCTAAGTGCCCAATGATATGCTTTTGAATGTATTCCCCTTTAAAGTCGTGTTCCATGTGCAAACTGCCATGCATGCCATCGCTAAATATCGCTTTTCCGTTTCCAAAACAAAACAACTCTATGAAAAAAAAATTGTTACATTTGTTGTCCTGGTGCTTTGCTTTTCTTTGGCTTACTTTTCATTATGTGACTGTTCCTGAGTAGTCATTTTCCCCTCCCGCCATCTCTCCCCCTGTCAGCATGGTGAAGCCCATTGTAGACAGTATCCATGTCTATGAATACATATTGATGATGCTTTGTCGCACAGCTGTGATTTTCTCCCTCTACTAACAACACTTAGTTTCTTTCTGCAGCCACGATGGGATGATGGCCTCTCTGTAATGCTAAATGTTTTCTGTGTGTTTGTGGCAGAAACCTTTGGGCTGCCCAGGTACACATGCCTCCATAAACAGGAAGGAGTTCATGAGAAGCTGCAAAATCAACACTTTTTAACAGGGAAACATTTGCATCTGTTATTTTCAGAGTGGGGATGCTTCAGTGCACTAATTATTAAATCTGGCAACAAGTTCTATTTACACTTGGTTTATAGTTTTCTCATTGATGGAAATCATTATTGTCTCTGAAACCAACAGTGCAAGTCCATTTTTAAATTTTGTATCCTCTCAGAAACAATTTTTAACAATCTGATTTACACCACAGTGACACACAAAGGATGTTAGAAGCTGTACATTTTGTGCTTTTCTTTGGATGTAGATTGTTTGGATCAATTTGAGTGAAACGTTATATTCCTAAAGGGCACAGACATTCAGAGTGCACAGATTTAAATATCATCTGGATTTAAATTTTGTGAAAAATGTTAATTACTCAAAATCAAACTGTTTTAATCCAGATTCTGTAGAAGATAATGGTGATATTAAAGTAGTCCCATTCTTTATAAAGTTTTTGCTGGAAATGAGACTTCTGCTGTTTTGGTGACTCACATTGATCCCTTGGCAATGTGTTGCACCTCTTGCTTAGCACGAGTAGAGCTGTTTGGGGGCTGTGTGGGTTCTCATGTGCTCCGTGGTGCACAAACACACTGTGACCAACAAAGTTTAGTCTGGAGTTACCTGTTTCTCTCTCTCTCTCCCTCTCTCTTATCCAGAAAACGTCGAGGTGCGACAAGTGCTCATTTGGGGTCTGAGAGGATTGATGCACTGAGATACCAGCGAATTAAAAAGGCCAAGAAGATGACAATGAACAACAATAACTTCAAGTCCACAAAGAAAGCAGGTGTGCACCCTGTTCCTCTCTCTTCTAACTGTTTAAGCAATGATGTAATTTTACAACCCCAGCTATGACAGAGTTGGGTTGTAAAATGAAAATAAAACAAATACAATGATTTGCAAATCTCACAGTGGAACGTTCATCGTAAGCAAATCGAAGGTTGAAACTAAGAAATTCATTCATTTTGAATGTTACAGCAGCAATATGTCTCAAATAAAGTCGAATCATGTGCAGCAAAAGACTAAAAAAGTCAATGATGCAAATGCAGAGCAGCTAAAGGATCATTATGTAACTAATTAGGCTGAATGGAAACAGGTTAGTAAGAGGACTGGGCATAAATAGAGCATTTTAAAGAGGCATTTTAGAATTGTGAGATAAAGCTATCATGCAAAGATAAAGCCATGTTTATGTTTTATGTGTTTATTGTGTTTAAAATAGACTGACTACAAAGCAGTTATGACTGGGGTCCAAGCCCGTTTATGCATGTCAACACTGGCTCGTGTTGTTTCCAGCATTTTGTCGAACTTGTGTCCCACAGAATTGTAGCATGATGGGGAGTTTTCACAAGATCTGTTTTAAGGCCAATTTGTTACAGCATCTGTTGAGCTCCTTCTCCATGAGTGTTCCTATAAGTGCTTCTCATCAGTTTAGAGTCAACCAAAAGTGTCTCCATTTTTGGTTCAAACGTACTTTTGGATTTACCTCAACGGTAGTTCCAGGCAGGTCAAGCTGAGTATTGACTTTACAATTGTAAATAAACACCTCCTGAAATGAAACATACAATGTTTCAATTGTGTTTAAATAAGGGTTCCGGTGCCCGTTGRCGAAAAAATACCCAGTTTTCAAACCATAGAAAACAATACGAGTAGTTAATTAATTTTCTGCCTATTACAACATCACCAGTCAAAATCATGGACAAAATCAGTTCAGAGTGAGCTTCTGCTGTGTGGTGTCCCTCTCTCGTTTGTGTGCTCGCAGCACCCCCTGCTGGACAGGGTTGCATATTACACACACTTTGCAAAAATTCTGCTTTTCACCTCCGTGTGGAGTTATAAGCATTTTGGTTGTGTTTAAACTGTGTATGAGGCGGATGCCTCCTCATTTGCACGTTTAAACTCCATTTAAATTGCTGTTGTTGTTACTAGTGTGTTGAAGCTTCACGGGATATTGATCGTTGATCTAATTTTTATTGCATGAAAATTTGTTGTTAAAGGCTTATAGGCATATGGGTAAAATGAAATGCTGCGTATTCCACGTTTGATTCCCATATAGCCCAGGAAAACACAACCTTGTCTGCGGATTCTGGAAGGGTTGACGGATTCTCCCTCACTTTGTGTCAAACTACTTTGTACTGTACATGCAAAGGATTGACACTGCTGCTTAGACTGTGTGGTGTAAAATGCCCTGAYCACAGCTCACCRCTCAGCAAATGTCTTTCCTGGTTACTGAATACCTCCAAAGGAAAAGTGTTCACACTGGCCTTGAGCGGTTCCAACGTGAGTTTCCAAATGTTAGGGTTCTCATGCTTCTCCAGCATGTTGCTCTTCGAACAGGGTTCTGACTGCTTCAATGTTGGCTGGTGTGCGTTGGGTCCTTTGTTGCCCGGACCTACCCTTGTTGAGATTGTGACTGGTCCCAGAAGCATGGTGCTTGCTAACGTTGCGGAAGACAGTGAGACGGCTCGGAACAATTGTTTCAATTGTCTGCCTAGGATAAAATGATGATTGTGATAATATTGTTTTAATGAAAGAAAATGCCCACACGATCACATTATCTTTTACCAGGTTATGGAATACTTACATGTAATACACTGAATACATGTATGTGTAATGTACATGTACAGTACATTACATTTAATGTTAGTGGGCTGGATTGACTTGTCCACGGCCACTTCACGTGTTTGTTAACACTTGGTTATGATACACTCAAAAACGAGATATTTTTGTTTCGACGTTGGGACATCAAAGATTTAATTATTTTAAAAATGCCTTGGCATGCATGTAAAACACCATCTAAACTTTTAATTTTATGTGACAGACCATATTTTAACCCTCACATTTCCTTGCACAAAGGACATGAGATTTGTGAATTTCCAACTGTCCCTGCTCACTAGAGCGTGAAGTATTATCTAAGATTTTGGTGTCATTCGAAGCAGAATGATCCCCTCTACCAAAGGTTATGCCCACATTTTCAAAATTGTTATCTATGTATATATACAGTATATACTGTATATATACTGTACATATGTATGTATGTATATATATATATATATATATATACACATGTGTGTGTGTATATATATATATATATATATACATACATACATATGTACAGTATATATACAGTATATACTGTATATA